TGTCCTCTATATGTAAAAAGGTAAACAATCAGTTTAGCGTTATGTCAAGGTTTGGCAAACTGATGTCTACTGAAACCATGCTCCGTCTTTATAAGGCATTTATACTTCCTCACTTTTATTATTGTTCTATGGTGTGGCATTTCTCTAGTAAACAAGATTCTGATAAACTGGACCTTTTAAACAAACGTATTCTTCGATTTATTTTCAAGGATTTTAACTCTGAGTACAATAATTTACTTAAAAAGGCAGGAACTGCAAACCTTAAGGACAAGCGTTTACAAAACATGATTCTCACTATTTTTAAATGTCTTCATTTTTCTGATTATCCAAGATATTTAAAAGATATGTTTCGTTTACGCTCTAGCACCTATTTTTTAAGAGGACATAATATGCTCTGTTTGCCCAAACCATCGACCACTTCTTATGGTATCAATTCCTTTAGTTACTTGGCAGCAACATCTTGGAATTCTCTCCCTGACCATTACCGCACTATTTCTGATTTTACTTCTTTCCGACGACTGATATCTACTGAGAACAATAATTTACTTAAAAGGGCAGGAACTGCAAACCTTTCTACATCATGATAATTTGCAAGTTAGTTGTCTAGGTAGTCAGTTATCTTTTTTGCTATATAGAATTAACTTTTTATTATAATTATTTATTAATGTAGTTGGCTCGAAGATATTAGCACTTGAGTGCTACACTGTAAATTCGAGGGTAAATAAAGTTTATTGATTGATTGATTGATTGAGGGACAAGAAAGGCTGCTAATAGTCTATCTGACTTTAAAAGTTGTCATATAAACTCCTTAAGGAACATGAAAGCGCCGGCCGCATTGTTTCTCTTGTTCTCAACAATAAACGTTGAACACCGTAAATATATGTTGTAAGATTTGATGTCATCTCCTTTTCCACTAACTTCACCAAGAAATTAAGCCATTAATCAGGAAAGCTCCAGTAATCTGACTCTCTTATTCCTAACAAGCTCGGAGAGCACCAACAGATGAGGTCAACTACCACGACGTGGAGTGAACAGTGTCCAATGAATGACGTCATAAGAACAGTTAACACGCCTGTCGGCAACACGTATTGACCCATGACGTATCATGTAACAGTTACACTTCATCGCGAAGCGAGCGAGAAGTGATGCTAACTCGCACGTAGTTGAAATTTTTCACTTCAAGCTGCAACATGTTCTTCTTTAATAACAGCCTCATCCCACGGACCGTGAATATTACTACAAAGGAAAATTAAAGTGAATTTAACTGAAAGAGCCATTCTTAAGATATAAGGAAATATTTCCACACAGTATTTCTCTGCAAAATGTACACATAAGGGTGTTGAAAGGGGAAGATTAAGTTGGAAAAAAATAATATTTTACCAAAGAAAATGATCATCGCTGTCTGGGATAGTAAGAGTAATTCGGCTATCTATCCTATATGGCTAGGTCCAGGAGCCATAATCGGGGTAGGAGACCGCAAGAGCGGGGTCCACGCGGTTCCATCGAAATGGCCAAATGTACTATTTTTAGAACAAACTGCACCACCCTCAACGTCACAACTCGCTCAGGAACCCGCAAATTTGCACGGCTCACGTGTGGAATTTCAGGAGATGGGCGATCGTCTTGCGACTTTACTTGAGTGCTCTCTTAACTTTCCAAGTGCTTAATATCTCGATATTCAATACATGCACAGTGGAAGAATAAGTCAATGTTACATAACATTACTAGAAATACGTTTATCGCATAAACCTCGCATGCATATACAACAAAGAAAAAAACAGTTAAGCCGAGAGTCGGACCCGGGAAAACCTGGACAATCTGCACGGAAGGTCAGCTCCTAGACCACTGCGCCACGCTGCCAAGGATATTGTTAAGTGGACAAATTATTTAATTTAATGCATTTTCCTGTGATATTCTGCCGGTTGACTGTACTTATCGTATTACCTCCTTTGTTTTTGTCAATATTATCTCGTGAGCTACTCAAATTACTGTTATTATATATTTCAAAATTTTAAGCGTACGGTTACCTCTGAAGATGTATGTTGAGACATACGAAACGTTAAGTCAGTGAATGAAATTCTGTTCTAGCTATGCGCTTGTTTAGCTTCATGTTTGTCACCACAGTTTGCGTTTCATTTCTAATCAAGCTTTGTTGACCTAAGACGAAAAGCATTTATGATTTAGACATAATTTGTTGTTGTTGTTAACTTTCAACCCTCCTTTTCCCGGAAGTTTCTTTTTTTGTCTGAACGGGGTATTCATCGCACGACATCTCCCACCTCTCTTCGTAACTGGATTTCTCAGTTAAAAAAACAACCTCTCACTGTGGTGATTAACATGATCAGAATTGCATTCACGATCCTTATCATATTCAGAGTTATTGTCAAAGTGGTTATCCTCAAGGTCTTGCCTTAAATTCTGAGGAGGGAATGATGACAGAAATTGAATTCATTCATCTCCTCCGGAGGTAATTTCTGACGCCATTTTGTCTCTTTATCCTTTGAGCGGCTCCCTGGCAAAAAATGCACGCGCGTGTCACACGAGATGGTGCTAAAAATATCACGTTTGGCTATTTCAATGGAACCAACCCCATTACTGGAAAAGGTATCCAGTTACGGTCTCCTAACCCGATTATGGCTGCTGGTTAGATCTTCAGAGCCACTATAAAGGAGCGCCCTCCCCCCCCTTCTTCTTTGTTGAGAGCGATCACGTGATAACAAAGAAAACAATTTTATTCAAGGCGTCCCAGTAAAACATTTAAGTAAAGGGGGGAGGGTTGGTAACTTACTTTTTCAGTCGCTGCAGTTTGATCAACCAGAATGGGCAAACAAGCGTCACTGCGAGATGGACAAGGACAAGTAGTACAGCAAACAATTGGGTCAGCGGCCAAAGCATCGCTATGGCAACAAATACAAGAGTCCACGTCAGAAATATGTCGCTTGAGGGTAGATGCATCTGACGAATGAAAAAAGCGAGACTTTAAAAATGCCTTTATCAAGTCACTATTAATGTAAAAGAAGTATCGGAAATTAGTATATCTGTGGAACTGCTAATACTCGTACAGTGGCCGGTTAATACAGACACCAAGGGCACAAGCATAGTGTCCATATTATCCTGGTATCCATATTAAGCGGGCTTTCAGAAAAAACGTCATGGACACATACTTTATCGATATAAAGACTAAAGCAGGAATTTCAACGAGAAAACGTTGGTTAATTTCTTAAATGTAGGCGAAACAAGATCATCCTAAAGAAATCTCAGTATCATATTATGTCATAGTATGAACTGAGATGATGTGAACTGCGAAAATAAAAATTTCAATGGAGATATGATCGTCGAAGTGATTATTGCAATTTAAGCAATTGCAAATTAATCCGAAAAAAAATTCCGCACTTCAAGGGGATTCGAACCCATGACCTCTGCGTTAGGGCCGCAGTGCTCTTCCAACTGAGCTATGAAGACCCATACATTAGGAGCAGGCCAGTTTGTTGAATTCATCTTAACCCGTGAATGGAATGAAAGAATTGTTCTTAAAACAGGAGAATGGAATGTAGACTTTACTTACTACTGGTGGTGGCGATGGGAAAAGGAGAAAAAAAAAAATTTTAATCGAATTGAGGATGAGGTGGGGAGGTGTTACAAGTAAAAAAGTTTGTGTTTATCTGCGAACGAGATTCAGCAGAACTTAAATGCTTCTTCTAGAGAAGAATATTGACTGTATTGGTATAGATTCATCTCGTCCACATTTGACCTTTGTTGCCTTTTCTCTGTCATTTGCAAAACAATAGCTGAAACAATATAACTACTAGGTCGACCAATCAGAGCTTCTGACCAGATTCCGGACAGATTCTACGTTACCAGTATGGAATTTCTGATGCTGAGGCGCAGACGTTCCTCCTGGCGAAAAACGTCCAAAGCGGCGAGAAGCGAGGAGAAACGGCTGTTTTCGCAGGCTACATTTTATTCATGACATAAAGACAAAAGACTATGAAGTCATCGGCGTTAATGCATTTCCCCACAAAATAATGAGATTCCCCCACATTTTATTCATGATGTAAAGACAATGGGCTATGACGTCACTAATGCATTCCTGCGCAAGTTAATAAGACTCTTCCGCAAAAAAAGGATAATTCGTTCCCTACCATGCTCCCAACGCATCGTAAAAAATGTAAAACTTGGATCTTAGATATTGCAATAGTTTACACCTATAAATCCAAAACTTCTCCTGTTCTCGTAGCATGACCAGAAAATATAGTTACAAATACCTTTAACTGTCTTCTAAGAGATGGAAAGAGAGCAAACATCTGCATAGCTAAGATAACAGTAACGAAGACATGCCAGGAAGAAGGAAGACGAGATGCCAAACAAACAGAGGCGAAGATAGAAGCGTTTAACGAAGTGGACCTTGAAACTCTTTAAAAAAAAAAAAAACATTGATAGTTGCTTTAACAAGCATATAGTTTTCATTTCATCATGTCAAGTTTAGCTGATGTCATGTTTTGTTAATTAAAGCTACACTCATCGTCAAAGTGTTGGGAAGGCTGCTACTTTTAAACTCTTTTTTTCCTTCTTCCCCTCGCCCCTGAACAAAACTTAGTAATAAATGTTTGTGCGCATAAAAATAATGCGAACAACGGAGACGAGAAGTGTGACGTCACGTTACCATGGTAGCAAAATTTCTGGATCACAACAACGGGGAGTTTTTGCAACGGCGACGGCGAACAGCAAAAAAGCAATAGGTTTAGATTGGCAAAAAAAAAAAAAAACAATCACGCTTTTTTGTACATTTCTTAGCCAGGCGTTGTTGCACGACTGCGACATGAAACTTCCTAATTTCATGCGCCCGCTTTACGGAGTAGGTGAGCACAACACAAAAATTTTCTTTTTCTTTTTCTCACTTAGGTATGGTTCTTTTGGTTTCAACCCAGAAAATTTCGCCAGCATCTGACAAATTAAATGAAATTAAATAAGATCGATGAATTTTGAAACAGTGCGAATCCACTTTTTAAGTGACGTTTTGGTTTGTTGTCATCCAGAAATTGTGCTACCATGGCAGTGTGACGTAATGACTTCTCCTCTCTCTTATTGTTCTGTTATATTCCAACATTGAATACGGGGACCAGGGGGTAAGTGAAAGGGAAAACCAACTTATTTGAACATTAAATTGAACTACTGTTAAGTTGTACAACCTTCCCGATTACTTTTGTCCGGGATTGTAGGTTTACAATAGAGGAGATTTTACCAGATTCGTTACGAATGCGAAAACTTTTGACGCTGAACTCGTTTCGCATTTACACGCAGATGCGTGAATCCGAAATATGGAAACGGGGCTCACTCGCGCGCAAGTTGCCGCCAATTGATAGAGAAAGTGGCAAGACATTTGTTAGCCAATCAAAAATCATAGTAATGCACAAGGCAAGCGAAATTCCTATTGAACAGCACTGCCACCATGTTATGTTAGAACTTTTAAGTTCTAAAATAGTGAGGTCAAAATAAGTTTCACAACACGGCCAAAAACTGTCAAAGCCTGTTGTTGAATGGCTTAATGTGATAAAACAAGGGGAACCGGTAAAAGACCTGTCTCTAAAAAGTTCTTGATAAGATTGGCAAAGAAACTGACGTGAAGAAAAAGTTTACCGAAAAGTTGAAATACTTACATAGCGGCGCGTGTTCCGTAATCGTACAAAAGTAAGTTCATGGCAAGCATGAAAGTCTGCAGAGTAAAAGAGAGATTACATTGATTCATAAGAAACACCACAATTAATGGTCACCTATTATTTAAAGTCATCTGTTATATCTACAAGAAAAACTATAAAATGTAGTGGTTCACTGTGACTGGTAAAGAATCTCAACAAATTAATACTACGGTATACTAATATTAATATCGATTTTAAATCTTCCTACAAGTGTCTACATGCACAACAAAACATGTACAATTGACCGTTCACTCGAGCCTTCAATACGAAAGGACGTCATCATACATTGAAAACACTTGAGTTATCGGGTAATAGGAAGAAATGATGGGAGATTGCAAAATAAGAACCTTTTATTTACTACACAGACTGGGTGGCGGGCGAGGGGGAGGGGGAGGCGGGGCTGCTCATTTAGTTCTTGTGTGATGGGTGGGGTGCTGGTCTCACTAAATAATGCAAGAACAATTATGGACATGTCAAGACTACTTGCCACTTACTTTCACTTTGGTGTGGTTTAAACGAAAAATAAAACCAAAAAGGAGTGTTTTAATGGTTGGTTATAATACACTTTCTTATAGAAATTAGCTAGGATTCAAATTATTGAGGGTACAATTACATCAAAAGTTTGGAGCAAACTTAGAGGAAATCAAGTTAAGCTCAGGTTAGCACAAGTTTTGAGTTGCACAGAGTTGGAGTTACCGGGAGTCGACTGAAGTTACAAGTTTCGCTAAGAGGGGATTATTTTTTCACTTTGTCTTGTGCAAGGATTTCAGGGTTAGAAAAGGAGAGAGAAAGACAGTGTTGAAAAGGTATTTGTTCGGACTAAAAATTACTTACAGTCATGGCATAGATGGTGTCTGTGCTAATAGAATCAGTCAAGGTTTTCAACACTGGAGATGACAAAAGTACAGAGACTAACACCAATATGCAACTTTTTAAGTCATCTAATCCTGGAACAAAACACAATCAAGTGTAATTATCACAATGGCAATTATTTCTGTCACCGTGGATGCAGTAAACCTTTGTTGACTTGAACTCAAATAACATAACTTCCCGGCCATTTAATTGAATTAAATCCTTTTGGCTTAGCCTGTTCACAGACCTCCTATTTTCTCTTTAGGGACTGTTGAGCACATATAAAAATATAGAACCGTGGAGAAAAGAAAATGCACATGACTGCACATGTAGTTAGATGATCCTCTACAATCCCACATTTCATGTTTTTTTTTTGTTCTTCATTCTTAAGAACTCATTACAGTTATAACATAAAAAAAATTAAATACCTACTTTTTTGTACTGTTGTCTTAGAGTTCCATTGTCCAATGCATCAAACAAAACATAACCAACTAAACATCAACACAGAGGAAAGCACAACTAAGAACTCATTACAGTTATAACATAAAGAAATGAAATACCTACTCGTTCTTTTTGACTGTTTTCTTAGAGTTCCATTGTCCAATGCATCAAACAAAACATAACCAACTAACGTCAACACAGAAGAAAGCACAACTAAGATGGAAGGAGACAGGAGTCCAAGATCCATATACACAAAAGCTGCTACAAATATGCTTACACTAAGGGAAAAATGAAGTAAAATCAGTTATTAATTAGCTGCGATTGCAATGTTCAATGGTTAAACTTTGAAGGTATAGTAACTTTAATGTACTATTACCTTTTAATAATCATTTTTGTCATACTAAAACCACAATCAAGAATGACCTCTGCCCTTTCACAAAGCCTTTATATGAAGCTGCCTGATGCAGGTAAAAATTAATGTCATTTGCAACAAGGGCTTGCCACTTTTTAACCTGCAGTGTGACTGACAAAATAAAGAATCCATTCATGCAAAACTAAACATTCTACTCTGGTTCCTTGGAGGCTATTCACTGCGGGCTTCTTACATTTCCACACTCCCCATAGAATATAATAGCGGTCCAGTATTACAGTGTATGTAGTTATACCAGTGTAGTTTAAAAAGGTATAGAAATATATCATGGAAAATTGTTGTCTATTTGATTTATGCAATTTTGTTTTTAATTGCAAAACCATGTATCCATGTGCAGGAAAGACAGATGAACACATATTGCTTAATCATTACAATATGTCAGATTCACGTTGTAAACTTCTGTCAGCTTTCATAGACCTCAACTCTTGACCAATCACTAGTGCAAGAGAAAAACACTTCGTTATTGTAACAAATGTGTTGTAGCTTACAAAAATTACCTGCTAAGTTGTTGTGACACAGCTCCAGATTCCAGCACCACTGACCAGAATTGATAGGTTCTAGTATTTACTGCACAAAAGATATAGAAAGCCAGATTCACCCATGGAAAATCAAATGCAATAGTCTGCTTTATCAAAGTTACAAGAATTAAATCACGTCCGATACGGTAATTTTTTCTGTCTTATCTGTATATCATGTGCTAGCCGGGTAACTAGTCTAGGTGCAAAGTAATTCAAATACTCATTAATAATTCATAAATAAAAAAACCAAAAAACTTAATGCTTAATGAGTGTCTTTATATATGATAAATACATGGCTACAGTCAAACCTCCATGTACAACCACCTCTCATAAGCGGCCACCTCCCATTAGCAACTGCCTATCCAAAACACCAAAACTTTCTGAGTCAAAGCCTTAAAGTCAGAACCTCTAGTAAACAAACACCTCCTGTAAGTGACGGCAACCACTTTTGTTAAATGATTTTCCATTGTTTTTAACCTCTTGTAAGCAACCACTTGACGCATTCTCTGATCTAGCTACAGTCAAGGGACATAGGTATTCGTCACTTTCAAAAAAGACGCCCGAAATTTTTACCCCTGTTGTGCACACTGTCAACAGGAAAACTTGATGCAGGGCGCGCGTTTGGTCAATAAAGGTAGGAAAAATTAGCAAAAATAGAAACAAACAAACATCCAGCCAAGAGCATGAAAAAAACTGCACAGTTCCCGAAAGAAAAGAAACAAGAGCTGTTTGTGTTTTGACACCTCGCTTTTTCAGTCATTCAACATTAAGTTCAAGGTTAGGTCGCTAAAAAGGGTCATATTTTTTTTTTGTTTTGCTCATGAGAATTTATTTTCAGCTCTCATGAGTCAAAAAGGCGCTGAACTGTCCACAGCAACAAACCAATAAATTATTGTTACTCTGTCAGAATCCGTGCAAAACAAAGCGGAAATGTCAAGAATATTGAACAGTCCAAGAACGACTATCACGAGTGTTCTAAGCAAGTACCGGAGGACTTGCACAGTGGAGACTTTGATGCGAAGTGGCAGGAAAAGGAGCTCCACAAATAGAGACAGAAATGCTTTAAAGCGTTCGGTTAAAAGTAACAGACGACTTACCTTACAGGACATTACTGCAAAGCTAAACGAGTGCAAAACAAATACTTTCAGCCAGAAAACCGTGCAAAGGGTGTTGCATTCGGAAGGATATAAAAGAGGGTTAGCGAAAAAGAAAATGGTGGTTCGGGAAGC